CATTTTCTGTTCTGTGCTTGAGAAGATTACAGGAGTCTGGTAAGATTTGCCGCAGAAGTTTTGCTTCCTGATGTCTTACAAATCTGCAAGGCAATGGGTTCCGGATTTCAGCAGGCGACAACTCTGCACACGATTATTTTCCTACAGATAATTCATTCAGTCACAGGTAAATCGAGGTTTTGTTCTAATAACAATTTGATTTAAAAAGATATCTAATTTCCAGAGTTAATGGATAGATCTAGAAGTTTTAAATAAAAAAAAAAAAAAAAAAAAAAGAGAGAGAAAGTAGATGGGGGTGGTGGCAACATATATTTTATTTCCAATATATTTGTGGCATTACCTGATTTTTTTAGTGTCTATAGCAGACACCCACCATCCCCTCCACTGTTTTTCTGAAGCCAGAACCAAACAGTAGCATTACATGAAATCTTAATATGCTTCAATCACGCAGATGGCACAAGGTCTAGGCAAAACTAAAGACTCACTTAGAGTAGATTCTGCCTTCACAGGTAGAATAGATTCACAGACACATACACACCCCCTCCACCCAGCTGTTTTTCAGGGAGCTTCCTTTCTCAGTTTTCAAGTCATTTTTCAGCAAGGACCGACCCTGTCACTTTGTCATACTGAGAAAGCCTACGTTCCTTTTTGTACCTTTAAAGTAGTGAAGCGAATGGGGAAATGAGCTCTATAAAGGTCTGTCGATATTTTCGCTGTTAAACCTCAACACTAAGCCTGCCCTTTTTCACTGACGACCATTTTACAACAAGCAGCCTGTGTTTGAAATGAAATGTACCTACAGTGGCGTGTTTCATCGCTGAATGAAGCCACCTCAGTGAAAAGATTATGGATATCTGAAATTAGGTGGGCGAAATCCTGCCCCTGTGAGTTCCAGCTTTACGAAATGAGCTAGCCTTTCTGCTTGACAGACATGCCGTTTCTGCCTCTGAACCAGGCGACAGACTAAGCTCAGTGGTTTTGGCAGCATCTCCCTGAAGTTACGCTATGTTTTTAGGATAAGTGGTAGGGGTGAAGGATGGCAGAGGTTGGCAGGAGCCTGAAGTTACAAAACTGCTTCTATATGCTCATATGGACCTACAGAGATGTGACCTGATTACTGTCACAAGATGTCTTCTTCTCCAGTCCTCTTGTCCCATCAGTTTCTGCCTTTACAGTGGGAGATCAAGGAACTTGGTCTTGAGATAACATGCTGGTCCAGAGCATTTTCTGATTTATTGATTTTTACCAGAGCAGAATAGCTCCTTTTCCTTGCTTACACATCTGTACGTACTCCACCTTCCTATAGGAAGCGATAATGAGAACATTTGTGACAGTACTGCATCCAGCTCTGGGGTCCTCAGTTCAGGAAAGACACGGATCTGTTGGAGCGGGTGCAGAGGAGGCCACAAAGATGATGAGGGGGCTGGAGCACCTCCCTTGTGAGCACAGGCTGAGAGAGTTGGGTTTGTTCAGCTTGGAGAAGAGAAGGCTCCAGGAAGACCTTAGAGCGGCCTTCCAGTGCTGAAAGGGGGCCTCTAAGAAAGGTGGGGAGGGACTTTTTAACAGGGCCTGTAGCAATAGGACAAGGGGTAACAGTTTTAAACTAAAAGAGGGCAGATTCAAACTAGATATAAGGAATAATTTTTTTATGATGGTGGTGGTGCCCAGTGACAGGACAAGGGGCAATGGACACAAACTGGAGCACAAGAAGTTCTGCCTCAACGTGAGGAAACACTTCTTTCCATGAAGGGTAACAGCTCTGGAACAGGCTGCCCAGGGAGGTTGTGGAGTATCTCCTTTCCTGAAGATACTCAAAACCTGCCTGGATGCAGTCCTGTGCAACTTGGTCTAGGTCAACCTACTTTAGCAGGTGGGGTTGGACTAGATGATCTCCAGAGGTCCCTTCCAACCACTGCTGTTCTGTGATTCTGTGGTGAAACACTGGCACAGGTTGCCCAGAGAGATGGCAGATGCCCCATCCCTGGAGACACTCAAGGTTAGCTTGGACAGGGCTCTGAGCAACCTGATGGAGCTGAAGTTGTCCCTGCCTACTGCAGGGGGTTGGACTAGATGAGTTTTAAAGGTCCCTCCCAACCCAAACATTCTACGATTATATGACAAGTAAAATTTACATCTATATCTTCTTGCAGGTCAGTATAAAATTATTCCTCCTGACAAGCCTGTCGTTGGAATCATTGGAAAAGGAGTCATCCTGCCCTGTCAGCTGAGAGTTAAAATAATCCCTGAGATGCTTTCTGTTCAGTGGATATTTACTGGAAACTCCAAAAAAATCGATGTGACCACTTACAACGGCAAAAACGCACATAATCCAGTTCAAGAGGACAAGACATACCAGGGCAGGACAACATTTTTTCAGTCTGAATTTAATAATGGAAACATTTCTCTTCACCTGAAAAACGTCATGCCCTCGGACAAAGGGAAATACACCTGTAGTGTCTTTTTTAAGAATTGGTACGATGAAGTGGTGGTTGACCTGGATGTGGCAGGTGAGTGGAATGGCAGGCGTGTGGTAGTCCATTCTCAGTCCAGTTGTATAACATCAGAAAGGTCTATGGGATACCAGTGGGCTGGGTTCACTTCCCTTGCTCTTAGCCGTGTGAAAGACCAGCTTCTGCTATAGGTTAGGCTACCTCCACTGCCAGCAGACCCCGAACAGTCTTTTTACCATGTTTTACAGAGGGAGCGTAGGCAACACCTTAGCTTTAAAACACTTAAAGGTAGGAGAGAGACGGATGCTACGGTAAAACAAGCCTGTTTTCTCAGAGGTGAAGCAAAAAGCCTGACTGAAACTGCATTTGGTGCCGCAACCCGTTTCTCACGCTTTTGCCCTACGCATCATCTCATTTTCTGTCCAGTATTCCAATTTTCATCTATTCATGGCTTCGTCCAACTTTGTTTTACCAACAAATTTCCAGTCAGTGCAACGTTGCTTTATTTTCATTCCGGTTGTTCATGGAGATAGCAAAAATCAGCCCAAAGATCTGTCTCTTCTCAGACTGTAAAAGGGAAGTTATGTACAAATGTCCCACTTTAACATAACCAAAGAAAAGGTGTTTACCAGCAATTTAATCAGAACTAAAATTTCAAATCTGATGAATTTGCACACTGTATTTATAGATAAATCTGGGGAAGACCTTCCCACCTTGTACAGTTTGGTGAGAGAACATCTTGTCTCCTGTTTGTTGGAGCTCGTTTTTTTGCTGTTCTATAGCTAAAGGCGATGAGTCTTCAGTTTCCCTGGATGGCCATGTGGGTCAGGGCATTTGCCTCACCTGCAAGTCGCAGGGATGGTTTCCAGAGCCCAAAGTAGTTTGGCTGAACAGCAAAGGACAGACACGGAAGGAAGAAGTGACCACCCAAACCACAAAGACTTCTTCAGGAGTCTTTGATGTTGTAAGTTCCATGAATCTCAAACCAGGATCCGACAGGGAAGTCTCCTGCAGAGTAGTCAACAACCTACTCAACACGTTCTGCGAATCCCGAGTCCTGATTTCAGGTGAGTGACCTCCAGGATGGATCAATCGCCGTCAGGACCAGTTGGTAGGCTGCTGTCTGTTGTCTCTCCAGCGACCCTGGAGCGATCCTGGACACGCAGCCCAAGCACAAATGAGTAGTGTTTAGATGGATAACATGATAACAAGTCCATCTTTATGCCTTAGATACCTTGTTAGATTCAAGATACATCTTAGCTGTAAATACTAATGCAGAGCTCTCGTTAGCTGACATCTGAGAGCGCCGTGCCAGCTTGGAGAGGGAAGGATTTAGAAGTGCCAGTGAGGAGAACAAGGGCCCTACAATGGATACCCAGCGCAATGACCGAGACAGCTGGAGTACACTGATAGGAAATGCTGAACTGCTGCTCCCATCCCCTTTTCTCACCCTAACACCACGATGATTCCTCTGAGCTTCAACGTGTGCCTCCCTCTAGATGGTTCCCTAGTCTGAAAAGGAGGCAATTTTATGTCAAAAGGGGAAGAGGGGATCCTTTTTTTCCACCTGAAATGCCACGGAAGACAGTTCTGCTTGGCTGAAAACTTCATCTTGTGGTTCAACAGTGCAAATACCGGCGTCAGAGACAGGCTGCTCAGCACATCCCCCTCATAAAGAGGTGACTCTTCCAAGCGTGCCCCTACCCATGGCAGTCTGAACGAGTGTGGGTGTGCGCAGAGTAGGAGCACAGTTTAATTGCCTGCACGCAGGCACCCAATACTATCTCTGATGGCCTGGAATAGCTGGCAGAGCAGAACGTGGGTGGTTTGGATCTCAGGGGAGACCTGCAACCTTTAGGGGTGGCAGGAGGAGACCGTAAAGGACACATTACAGCAAATAAAATGGACTAGACGCATGTGCTTTGGCCACTGGAGCCTGCCATAGATGTTTCACGTGCAGTGAAAGTAACACCTTCTATATTTTACAGATGTCTTCTTTCCTTCCACTTCACCTTGGATGATGGCCTTCCTTGTCATTTTCTTTCTTGATATCGCTGTTGTTGCTGCTATGGGTTATAAACTAATCAGTAAGTATTTCCACCTACAACACTTGTTATGGAAGTCTTCATCTACAACGCAAAACACAGTTAACGAAAAATAACATTTCAACATCAGATTCAGAAAGAAATATACGGGAATGAGAGGGAGAGAGAAAAAATCGACAGATGTATAGTTAAAAGTAGAGTGAGGGTGGGGGCTGCACGCATATGAATGCACAGAGAGTCTTTTACAGGGAGGTCACTACTATGAGATGCCTCTTTGTAAATATTGCAGATGTTTATAGGCACAGAATATGATTTTAGCATTTAGAATAGTGGATTTTGGAAAAAATTCTCATCTTAAAATGAGAAAGTTTGAAATTATACTTCAATATTCTCAACAGACCTCTTGTTTAAAAAAATTTAAAGAGTTTCTTTGTTTTTCCAGGTAGTTTTAAACAGTCTCGTAAAGCAGGTGAGTAGCGATGGAGCTAAATATAATCAGACATGAACATATTTTAAGAGAAAAGTTTATGCTTCTGATCCAGCAACAGCCAGAGAAGCAGTTTTATAGGTGTGATAATGATGCGGGCATGATCAATATTTAATTATTTCAGTTTTTCAGAGCACCAAGGTAAAGTGGGGATATTGGGACACCGCTCACCTCTGAGTACTGCCACTGCTGCTTAAGCAGGGAGCTTTGCTTCTTTCACTGGTTTGGCACAGCTGGTTGTCAGCACAGACAAATCGAGGTGCTCTCCTGCTGTATAGACTCAATACAACACCACAGTCAACGGCTTCTTTTGCTCCAGAGCTCACTCAACTGTTCCTCAAGACAAGAATAACATATATACATATGTATATATATATACACATACTCAAATGTCAACATCAGCTGATGAATCCAATACAAACTTGTTTCTTATCTGCCTACCTACTTGTATGTGGAAGTTCTCCTTACCTCTAGCATTTCTCCAGATGTGAGGTTACAGAGGGGCTTCTTCAGTAAATGGTTGCTGTTCCAGTAGTGCTTTTTTTTTCCAGGTGTTTTTAAGGTCTTCTGGTATTGAAATAACCCTCTGTTAAAATTACTTGGGTTTTGTGCAGAACTAATGGGTTCAGCTTTCAACTAGCACTCCAGATCCTTTGACTTGTATATTTTTTACTGTTTTGAGATAGTGAATAACTAATAATAACCAATAATTAGTAAGAACCAATAATTATTTGGGCTTTCTATAGAACTAACGCGTTCAGCTTTCAACTAGCACTCCAGATCCTTTGACTGGTATAATTTTTTTTTTGTTTTGACACAGTGAATAATTAATATTACAATTTTTTTTTTTTTTCAGTGAGATTGAGGAACGACATGATAAGAGGTAAATGCTCCTTGAAATCTGTGAGGATATCTCTTGAAAACATAAAATCAAAGACGCTGTTCTAGGGCATTTTGATTTCTTGGACAATGAAACTCAAAATTAGCAGTCCTCAAAAGTAGCGGTGGTGAGACCTTGGCACAGGGTGCCCAGAGAAGCTGTGGCTGCCCCCTCCCTGGCAGTGCTCAAGGCCAGGTTGGATGGGGCTGGGAGCAACCTGGTCTGGGGGAAGGTGCCCCTGCCCATGGCAGGGGGGGCTGGAAATACATGATCTTGAGGGTCCCTTCCAACCCAAACCGTTCTGTGATTCTACAATTACCAGCATGAAGGGTTTGATGACCATTGGTCACATTGTCCTTCATAATTAAAAAGTATTGACCCCTCCATAGGTATCCGGAAATAAAGTAAATACCTCAGGGTAATCCTGTCATGCTTGCAAGATGGTGAATAGACTGATACACCGTGATCTAGTAAGACTGCACTAATATCTTGAGATATAACTTTATTGATGCTGTAATTGCTCTGAAAATGCCATGTGCCAGGCTTATGCTCCATTTTTTGCATCGCTGGATCACGGTACTCAATGTATTCTGATCTTTTGCCTCCTGTTTTTGCCTGCTAATAATTCCCAAGATTATTAGAGAAAAAGAAAATCAAATAGCAAGCCTTGAACTGTTTACTGCTAAATTGCACCCCGTGGCTTTCACTCTGATCCTCTCATCCAGACAGCCTATCCTGAAGAAACAAGTAACAATTCCCGCTGCAGTTTCTGCCAATTCTGTGCATGATCAGCATGTATTTCTTGTCAAATAATGCTAACAGTAAAAAAGACATAGTCCAGAGGAGCTCAGTTGTCTCATTTTGGCCTTTCAACTTACCAGTGAGATACGGTTTATTTAAGTTTCTAAAATAATACAAGTGTCAGGGCCTTCCTGAGAGTCAGGTCTTTGTAGTCAGCTATGAGAAACAGGAATATTCAGAGAGAGATCAGATTCGAAGTGTTTGAGAAAGCTGTTACTGGGAAGAAGACTTGGGAGGTGGGAGGTCACTTCCTACATTGACCATAAGTGACCTGCAAAGCAAGGTAAGAGACGTGCACCTTGCAGATACCTAAAAGGCATCAAATGAAGGTCATCCCATCTCTCTCACAGGTTAGAGTCTCCTCCAAACCTGTGTGCTAATTTACCTGTTTGTTTAATTGACTTCATAATTCCCCATGTAACTCAACGTTCTTTACCTCATCAAATAGATTAAGTGGATCATGGGTGGTCCCACATTATTATTGAAGAAAAAGAAAGTAAAAGTGTTCAAGAAAACATTGTAATTAAACTTTTTAAATCTGATTCTGAAACTTATACATTAATAATCACGTATCATTTCTTTCAGAAAAAGAACTTTTGAAGACAACACTAGGTACGAACACAATTTTCCCGTTTCCCTTCTAGGATGCATTCTATTTACATCCCCAAAACAGCAAATGGGATGTAGATTTTTGTATGAAGTGCTTCTGGACCTGTCTGTTCCCTTTAACAAATGTTTTTATGACCTGTTTTCAAGTTTGATGATAAATTCAAAAATTATCCATTTTCCAATAACTTGTTGGAGCTTTAATAATTGAGGACAATGAAATCATTTCAAGGCTCATCGCATACAATTTAGCTTCTAAATGAAAACAAGTGTCAGTAATGGTGGGTTTTTTTCCTTCCTTTTTTTGGTTTGTTTGTTGGTCAACTCAGAAACACAGAAGGAAATCAACAAAACAGGTAAATATGGTTCTACAATTAAGACAATGTTAATCAACTCTTCCAAGTAGGTATATATGAGCGAATGAAAATAAGATCTTCATGAAAAAGCACAAGTAACATTAGAGCAGTTATGCCACGATAAGGAGGGCACTATCAGTGCCATCAAAATTGATCAGCAATATTGCTAATTGTACCTAAGGAACTCAGACATAGACACCCGCATTCGGTCACCTAAGCCTGCGTACCAGGCTGTTTTGCCTACATTCGTTTGGGTTGAAAATCAGCTGTTTATACCAGGATATCTAGATTTTGCTGAGATGCAGTGAGGTTCCCGGCCAAGGGCACACCAGTTCAGACAACACCGGCATATACAACTAAGGGAAGAAGGGTAAGAAAAAGGAAAAAAAAAAAGAGTCCCATAACTCTAGAGCACAGAAACAGTGCAGTATAGCTGTGTTAATTTACACCTGACTTTTAGCCACAACACATGCTTCTAAGGATTTAAACTGACAAGTTTTCACAAGGCAAATCTCAAAGGAAAAAATCATGTCAGTACTTGTGCAGCAATGGAAGTATTTCCTTCAGATCTCACCTCTTAATCTTTATCTCCTCGAGTTTTCATTTCACTTATTAAAGTTATTCTTTTACAGAAAAGCTTGTAACCAGACATCACCTTGGTAAGAAAACATCTTGTATAGATCTTGCATTTTTGTAAACCTCATAAAAAACAAAGCATGTGTTCAGATAAGCCTGACTGTGCCATCCATGAGGGTGAAACCAGTGTAAAGATCTCCTCAGAGTGAGGTTCCATTTTCTCCTTTGAGAGATTTGTCACACAACTTGCTAAAAGACCTCTCTGGAATATATGACTAATCCTCCTTACCAGAAGTTTTTCTCACCTTAAAACTACACCAAAGCTACCTATGTTGTGCCATATGTTTTTTTCCTGACAAATCACATCCACCTGAACCATTACAATGACAGACAAGAAATTAATTTCCTTCATGCAGCCCAACTGGCTGATTTAATGTCCTCTAAAATGCTTCCTAAATGTAATCAAACGCAGACCTTCTCTAGAGGCCCGGTTTGTGTCCCTCGCCTTGCAACAAAATCTCAAATATCTCAATCACATAAATCAAAAAAGTCCTCATACTGACACACGGCACTGCTTGATCTTCTATTGTTTGGGGTTGTCTTGACGTTGAAAAGGCACTCACGAAATAAATGTTAATAACTGGAGCATCTTTCCCTTTCAGAGAGATTCAAAGCTGAGCTCGGTGAGTGATTTAAAATTTTTATTTTATTGCTGTATGTATTGGTGCGTCAAGTAAAGTCAACCCTGGGGCACAATCACAGTGATGACAAAAACTGCACATCAGTAGACAGAAATACTGTAGGTCAACAAGTATCTAACTGCCCAAAAGATTCATATAACAATACTCTCTGTTGCCTTTCTACAGATTTCTGGGAAGCCCGGAGTCATGCAGGTAAGCTGGCAGGAGGAAGGGCGTGAAATACAGCTTTCCTGCTCACCAGGACGGAGCATTCACGATCAAACCACCTCTTGGCGATGGCCCTCGGCTCATGTGGTCACCTAGATGACGCCTGCTCATTGTTTGGGAGAGCACTAGCTGACCCATGCCATAACCATAGCAGGGACAAAGGAACCGCGTGAATAATTTTATTGCCCGAGGCACATCTGGTTCTGTTTCCC